AGGAGGAGGAGGAGGAGGAGGAGGAAGCCTCGCCTGGTGCGACATCCGTTTCCTTCAGCCCCGAAGCCGCCGCTGCCGCTGCCGCTGCGGCTGTCGTGGGCGGCTCAACGGCCCGCGACCGCTGCTGCTGCTGCTGCTGCTGCTGCTGCTGCGGAGCATCCGTCCGAGAAGAGTGTGACTTGTCGCCAGGGAACAAAACACCACCACCACCACCACCACCACTCACGTGACTATTCGCATTCGCATTCGCATTCGTATTCGTATGTGGTGGTGGTGGTGGTGGTGGAGGGGGCGGCGGTGACGGAGATGCTATTGCTGCAGCAGGCGCCGCGATATTCTCCGGGAGTTCCACGGCGACGATACCTCCTGGGAGGCGCGAGAACAGCCACCGGACCACCTTGAAGACGCTCTCCTCCGCCGCCATTCGCAGAAGAGGCGAGTGGGCCGACTGTTTGAAGGCGTGGTGGTTGGTTGGTTCGGCGTGAGTGCGGGTGGACGTAATTGGCCGGTCACCCGGGTTGGCCACACGCCCACACCGATGGAAACCCAGGTCCCAATACCGGGTTGTTTTGGGTCGGGGGGGAGGGGGGGCGGGAACACACGCAAGCGCAAAACCGGCGGAATGAATAACAACAATAGAGGAGGAGCCGCAGCAGGGGAAGAAAGTTGCGAGACAGCAGGAGCAACAAATACCAATTGGCTAGTTCGGGGGTGATTTGAGCCCATCACAGGGAGAGCTTGTCGGGAGGAACATGGCACTGCTAGTACCCTCGATATTGGCCTAGTCCGAATGGAGGCCACAAACCAGTAATGGGAAGGCTGGACAGGGGTGAAGAGGGCCGGAGACACAGCATGCCACCCGCTACTGTACGCATGAAAGTCAACGCCTGTTCGGTGCAAAATGTATGCCTGTCACTCAGCTTCTACAAAGAGAACACCACGACAGCGAGAACAACCACAACATCAACGACAACAACAACAACAACAACAACAACAACAACAACAACAACAACAACAACAACAACAACAACAACAACAAACACACGAACAACAACAAACACAGCAACATCAACGACGGCCAAGACGACCACGACAACGAGCACAACGGTTATGACAACGGTGGTCTTCACAAGAACACCGAAGCATCCGCCAGTCCGCAGCAGAAAACGACACGCTCTCTATCTCCGCAACCACAACAACGAAGGCGCAACCCCTACCAGCAGCCTCGCACCATTTGGTCGAGGTTGGCCATGCACGTCTGCAGCACCGCCCAGACCACCTCGTCCGACAGGCACACCCCGGCCCCGCCCTCCAGGCACGCCGCCAAGACGTGCATGATTCTCGCTCGGACCGCCTCGTCATGGTCCTGCTGGGTCTCCTCGAACCTGCACCCGATCAGCGCATCCACGAGGTCTCCGACGGCTTCGGAGGCGTGTACCGAGTCCTCCTCTGCGGGGCAAGGTGACGCCAGGCGAAGCACGCAACAACCCGCCGTCCTTGGGTGTTGGACGAGAAGGCGTCGTGTATCACGATACTTATCGTGGAGGTTGGTGGGCGGGCTTGGCATTATTTTCTACGGGGTTTTGCAAAAGCGACGTGAGCCACCTCGCCTGGGAGAAAAATCCCGTTTCAGGCTTCGAAAAAATGTGTGTGTGGCAGGTTTTGTCGCTAAAAGTAATGCTGCTGAGATGGGTGGACAGAAGGCTTTCGATCAGATCCCTGCTGCCGCGCAACACTCCTCGCCAGGTGCAGCAAGTACGCCGAACATAAAGAGGATGCTACAAGAGTTGAAAATATCAGCATGCAGCAGTGCCGTAGAGACTTGTCAGTACAAAGGCGAGCGAGATACAGAAAACGCACATAGAGAGAAACAGGGAGAGAGGGACCAACAGACAGCCAGGCAACAAAGAGGGAGAGATACAGGGGGGGGAGAGAGAGCGAGCGGCAGAGAGAAACAAAAAGAGAGACGAACAGACAGCCAGAGAGACAACCAGAAAAACGAACAGACAGCCAGAGAGATACCCACCTATCAGGCGGTCGCGTGAAAACGCCTGCAGCGATCTCAGCGCAGCCTCCGTAAGGACTCCGTTGGTTTCAGGGGACCGCACAACCGACAGGAACGGGGAGACCAACTCCAGCCTGCTCAAGCCGCGGAGGTCTGACAATACACGAGGTCGGGCAGTGATAGCACGGGGGCCGGGAGGTGTTGGGGCTGAGAGCTGCTGCTGCGGCCGCTGCTCTTGTCAACTTCGTGTGTGCTGGCCCAGCAGCATTCCAAAGCAAAACGAGCCGTGTCATTCCATACGAGCAACACATACCATCAGCTGCGTGATGTCAGTGGAGTGGCTCCATTGCCCAAATATTACTGCAAAATAGCGCCCTCCAAGTTTGTTGGATGGGACTTGGTGCCGCTTCTACAACGTGGCGTGGTGTGTTTCGGTGTCCCGCCAAGGTTTGTTGTTGTTGTTGTTTCTCACATTAGCTCTACAGTCCACAAAAAATGGGGAGCCCATGGCCTCAAAACCTGGCACATACGACGCCGCGGGGAAAGAAAACAAAAATAGGGTACAAACCACTCGGAAAAAGAACACAAGACGATCAAAAGAAAATAACAGGTACCGCACCGACCGTTCGAGAAAAGAGTCCTCGGAAACCGATCAAAATAAAACAAAAACAAAAATAAATGGTGTACTGCCGCTGTAGCGATGAAGACGATGTGTATCAAAACGAGGAGGCAAGTAGCTCTCTGTTGATTTCGACCAACAACTCCCGAACTTGTCGCGCGTTTCTGTATCCCGCACACTGCCGTCGGTTGCTTCTACAGCTAAAACGCCCCTGCTGCACCGAGGACCCACGCATGCACAGGCAATCGTTGACCTTTGCAGTACGAAACACGTAGTCTTGATATATCGCGGCGGCGTCCGTGTGGGTACAGACGTGTGCGTACAGACAGATCCACCGAGCACGCTGTTCACCAGGGCCTCAACGTGAGCATGCTTGTGCGAGCCGATGTACTTCACTACAAAACGTACTTTGCGTAAGAAGATCACCTGGTACGGCGCTTTGTGCTCCCGAAGCATCGAATGCTAAATACTGCAACACGTATCGCGGAGGACGTGATGTCTACGGCATGGCAATGCCGCGTCGCTGGTCTCTAGGGAGACGCCAAAGTCGGTTTCGTAGCATATTTATCTAGTCATGATCAGAGAACAGGACGGGCACATGTGCATAGTTAGTGCATAGCTCAGGGTGCGGCCAAATAAGCATGTCGCCCCACCAATCAACAATCACCAAATCACACTTTCTATCCTTGAATGCATGCCATCACTTGTGTGGGACAGCAGTCTCTCTCCGCGAAAATGGCAAAAGGCGAAATGCCACAACGGCGTTACGAAAATCTACAGCTCAGCAGAGCCCCCTCCCCGCGTCTTTCCGTGCCTCTCACTCACCCTCGTTTGGCCAGTCGCGGACAGCTTCTCGCAGGGCCTTCAAGTCGGCAGTCAGCCGGCTTTCCTCCGCAGCGGAGCGATGCTGGTTTGTCGGATGTTCGTAATGAGCGTTATAGACGCCGTCCAAGGGTGAAACAAAGATGAACGCTGTGGTCAGAGCATGCCCAACAGCCTATGGTGCGTACACTTCAAATCGACACTACAGCAGTCGATGTCCCGCACCAGACAGACCCCCTGTAGGGCCGCATCCTATGCGTGCAACAGCAAGTTTACATGTCTCTCGTGTGTACACTCACAAGAGATATTGAGATATTTCAAAGGTTTGCGAATATTTGTTCCGCCTTCTAGGGCACCATAGCTTACCTCTGTGATCTCGAACCGTGCGTTGCGTCTAAGCGCGTCCAGAACACTTTGAATCTCGCACAGCACATCTCGTCTCGCCATACGACCTGCAGGTGCCGCTGCTGCGAATGCTCGGATGACGTCGCAGAACACCGCACCGGCGCTTGCAAGTAGTCCGTCGCTTCTCTACCCCGCCCCCCCCCCAACTATCGCCAGAAACACGTTCGGAGTGCCCCCCGCCTCTCGTTGCTCTCGTGTCATGTAGGTCATGTCATGTGTCCACATGATCAAGCGAGAGTAGGTTGTCATGAGCGAGCGGACGTCGCCAGGCCTGACGCCCCAGGTGCTGATAGACACGCATTGCCACGTTCACGTTTTCATTGAGTCAGGAACAGGCTGCTGCTCCGCTACTACTACTCTCCCGAAACAACCCCTTCACATCAGCAGCAACACCACCACCAGCAGCAGCGGTAGTCACTGCGATAGCAGCAACGAGGGAAGAGGTGTGCGAGGTGAGATCACCGACAGCGGGGAGGGAAGGAAAGGTTCGGTGGCGGCGGTTCTGCCAGAGGTGGTGCATGTGACGATGGGAATCAGAGAGGACGACTGGCATGGAGCTGTGGCGTTCGCCGTTGGTGCGGAGGATCTCCAGCGCAGGTGCGGCGTAACAACACCCGAACACTGACGAAACAGGCACGGTGAGACGATGAGAAAGATATGGGGCATAGGAGAAACTCGTGGCTGGCCGCAGCATGCTCGGTTATAGAAGCTCAGTCTGAAGCAGCCGCGTGGCTGGCTGTCTCTCTCGTGTTTGTTATTCGTAATCATGCTGCATGCTCTTCAGACATGTAAGTTCCGCCCCGTTTCCGCACATCACGCACTGTCGCGCGGGCACACAGGGGTATTATTGCATCCGCCGCGGCACCAAGAAGGGCAGCGGGAGAGGAAGATGAGAATTCTTCGAAGGCTGAGAAGGGCGAGTCTACGACTGACTCTTCCTTTTTCAAGTTTGGGCTGGGGCTGCATCCATGGTGCGTCGCGGCAAAGGCGTACATGCTGCGCAAACGATTGGTTGAATCACTTCTGTACATCCAGTCGCAGTTACCGAGTTTGCTGCTCATGCGATGTCGTCGCTCAATGAGCGTCGGCGAGACCATGCCGAAAACGGAAATGGGACAGCAACGATGTACATGCGATAAATGAAGCGTAAGCCAGCCGTTTGTTCACGAAGAGCATTCTTTTTAACTTTGTTCGCACAGCAGTAGCATATAAAAGGAGAGATCCACGATGCTCCCAACGTATATCCTTGCTTGTACTCCAGGTCTACGAAAACACGAAATACACGCGTGCACGCATCAGCATGTACAGTATCTTGGAAGGGGACAGCATCGCATCTCTTTCCCGGCGTAGCACTCTAATTGCCCGTCTTCCCTCAAGAAATTGACTTGGCTCTCGTAGAGCACTTGAACGACCAGACGTGTACTGGGGCAGTAGTAGTGTTGACTGCGGTCCTCGGACCCATGCATTGCCTGCAATAGACTAGTTATTCAGTCGCTCGGCCGTGGGCTTTAATACATCAGGTACGCCCACGCGAGGTCCAAGGAGTGGCTGCGCGATCTCACGGCGCTACTCGAGCAGCATCCGCACGCCCTTGTGGGTGAAATTGGTGAGCAGGAGAGGCAGGAGGAGAGTGCCGACAGCGGGAGACACCCCCGCCCCCCGCCCCACTTTTGAGTTCATTTGCCCAAGCCAACAACTAAGCACACGCATTGAGAATTCGTTGAGATACAGTACACACATTGTTAGAGTGTAGTCGAGCTTTAAACAGAGAACACCCCTATACTGTATAATTGGTTGACTTCAAAATCACCAGTTGTAGAATATTCTCCCGCGGAATACCTCTTGTACGAGGCACCGCTTACCCTTGAATACCTGCATTGAGTTGCGGTTTCAACGAACAAGGGCAGTCAACCAGGGATACTTCGTGACTGGCGCACTTGCCCACCACCAAAATGCAGACCAAAAGGTGCGTGCTGTTACAGGAGGTGTCAGATACAATCGGTCGATTTTTGCTTTTTTTGCTCGCCCGTTGGCGGCAGGGCTCGACAAAGTGGCCCGCACCCCCGACACCAGAAGGGTGGAGTGGGACGATCAGGTAAGAGGTGCGGGAGGAAACAGGGAGTGGCTTTTTCCGCTTCGGTCATAAGCTCTTTGACCCCCCATGTCTGCGTGTGTACCTCCCCAGCATTGCTCTGGTCGGGAGTCCGGTAAACTGGCGTTGCGCCCGACACCGTCGTCTCGTGTGGCTTGATGCGTTCCTCGGGCTTTCGTATAAGAGGAGTGGGATCGTGGACGTACTACTGTTAGCTTCGAACCAGCGGAAGCTATGGTGTCCGATTTCACGATTTTCCGTTTAGCGGTGCACACCTGGCGCCGTTGCATGCCTGGATTTCGGGGGGGGCGCCCGCACATGGACTCGTTGCCCACAGGCAACGAAAATAGAGTGCTGGCCATCGATCGATCGATGTGCATGCGAACTCACTCGTCGGCACTCAACTCTCTTGCCATATTTAATTTTTTCCTCGATTGAAGCTTTGGGTCTTCCAGACCCAGATGGAGCTAGCGGCGAGGATGTCTCGGCCGGTCTCGGTGCACTGCGTCAAGGCCCACGGGAAGCTAGTGGACTGCCTTCGAGGGTCAGGGCTAGACGGTCCTGCAACACACAATAGCAGCAGCAGCAGCAGCAGGGGCAGCAGCAGCGGCAGCAAAAGCAGCGGCGGCGGCGGCGGCGGTGCCGACAAAGGGCGGGCGCAGAGCGGAGTTGAAGGCAGCGGTGGTGGAGGCAGCGTTCTCGCGGAGGGAGGCATTGGCGGCGACTTTTGTCGTGGTGGGGGCGGTGATGGGTTGATAGAGCGCAAGACCGGGTGTCCGCCAGCTGGGGGGCAGAAAGAGGGGCACAATGGCCTGGGAGGGGAGAGAAAGAGGTGGCGACTTCCGCCGCGAATCGCACTGCAGTGAGTGTGAAAAGAATACCGGTGAATTAATTCGAACCAGCGGATTTACTGCTGCTTGTGTATGTTGTCGCGAATGAGTTGCCATCTGCGCTATTCTTTCAAGGAAATGGTGAGACGGTCCCAAATGAATAACAACGCAAACACTCCCCCCGCTTTTCGCGCCTGTTCCGTTCGTTGTCCGGTCACTCCCACATCTGTGTGATCCATCGCGTCACATGCTTGCCTTTTAACTCATGTTCTGCTGCTGATGCTACTGCTGCTGCCGCTGCCGCTGCTGTCGTGCTGCTGTTGCGGCTGCTGCAACATCAGCTCCTTCACGGGATCAGTGGAGGTCGCCAAAGACATTACAAGGTGAATCCCCATTGCTGGACAGGTGCCCTCTAGACAATATCATGTTGCTAGACCTCTTGAGCAGCGTAGGAAACTGGACGAATCCTTAGCATTCAGAATGTTCTCAACAAAAATAACACTCAGCGATGATCCATTTGGAACTGGGCGTTCATAAGGTAGGCTCAGCTCGACGGCAGAAGCGGGTGGGTACTGCAGTCATGGAGGCAGATAGTTCAGGTCGGGGTTGAGGACTTGATCGCCTCTTCCTTTTTTTGCCGGCCGAGCCAAGTCTCCACATTGACCAACCGACCCATCGAACCCTCCGGAGGTTTACCATGACAACCAGGCCCAATTTACGCACGCACACACTTTTTTTTGTTCTGTCTTTAATGCGGAGAGTAGCATAGACTCCCCCACGACGGTCCTTCACGAGGGCCCGGATCGTTTAATTCCGTAGCATTTTTTTTTTTGCTTTCAACCGCACTGAGACTGACGCCTTTTCATTGATCAGCCGGTTAGCGATGTCGATGCTGAAGAAACACACACGCACCCGCACACACATAACACCCATCCTTGTAGTTCAGAAGCAGGACGCTGTCGTCCAACTCCTGAGCTCCCTCTGTCGGTGGAAACCTTTGATTTTGTAGAAGCGTGTTCGTTCGCGATGCTTCCCGCGCTGTTGTTACCGGCGCCTTTTCACTGGTCAGCCGGTTAGCGCGGCGTGTGCCAATGCAAGAAACGCACACGCAGCCTCCAGCTGCGTGTTTGGTGTAGGCCCCAAAGCCTTTGGGACACGAAACAGTTTGCAGAGCGCCGACCAACGTGTTCTTAGACTTGTGTGCCGCCAATAATTTTGTGCCGTCATTGACGCCACAACAAGAATGCAAGGATGTAGTAACGAGTACTTCCGGCCATTTTTTCTCGCTGTTGCGGTGCGGTTGCGTCAGGCTCGGCGCGCGGAGGGGCTACGGTAGCGAGGTTTTCTTTGGGTTTTCGGCGGCGGTAAACATGCGGGGCGACCGTGAGACGAAGCGATTGGTCGGTGAGTGTGAGCAGCGGCGAGCGTGTTAGTGAACCGCAGGGCCGCTCTGCCCAACCAGAAACTTGTTGAAGAAAGGACGCGCGCACTCGAGACATCGAAGTCGGGAACGGTTTTGTACCCGTCCATGTCCCTCCTCCCCACACACCACGCGTTTTGCCCCTCATTCTCTTACCCTGTGTCACTTTTCGTGATCGTGCGCGCGTGCGTCGATTTGCCGAATGTTTTGTTGCCATGTTCCAGAAGCCGACAAACCCTCGTGCTCTTTGCCTCCGCCACACACACCGCTCGTTGTTATTGCCCCGTCGGGCGACTGCCGTTGCCCCCTCCGCTTGGCATTGTTCGTTCGCGAAAATAACAACAGATGTGCTGAAAGTTGTCCCCGACTCTCGGATTTTGATAGAGACCGACAGGCGGGCTCCGGCGAGGGAAGCGGTGGAGGAACTCCTGCGGGTGTGTGACGCAATTGCGGAAGCCAAGGGGGTTTCGGCCGAGGAGGCCGCGGCGCTCGCAAGCGGAAACGCCGCCCGGTTTCTGGCAATGCCGTGATGTTCGAAGGAGGTGGTCTCACCACAACCAAGAGAAAAAGAAGATCTCGACGTACATGCGATGCGGTGGCGAGTTGGTTCTCTTGCAGGAAGGAGTTCATTCCCTTTTGTAGAAGGGAACCTGAAGTACCACTGCTTTTGGCGTTGATTTAACGACACCGGTGCACAATAATCCCGCGTGGACCACGTACAGTAGGCATATTTGTAAGAATTCTACAGAAGGTGGAAGATACAATATGCATGCAGGCGGTGCTCTTGTTTTTTCTCTCGGAAACAATCCACACTGGTTGCGCCTCCTCTGGACCCTCGTGTGCGTCTCTTGTCTGAAACAAGATAATAACGGTGTGAAAAATCGATTAGTCTATCCCGCATTGTTGCTCCCACCTGACTGTGCAACACTGGACTCACCACTCCAGAGTAGATGACTCCGACATGTGTGTTTCTCGTCACAACATGAGATGGGTGACTCGTGACCACGGGACACAGGTCATCGAGCCCCACCCCCCACCTCCATCTCGCCTCTCCCCCTCCGCTCCCAGGAGACAAATAATTACGTTTGAGATCCTTGACGCCATTCAGCTGCTAATCCGCGGACTGCCGAACGGTAGGGCGACCACAAACAGTTTTGACGGAGTAGACTGTACCGGTGCTAAGACCTCATCAACAAGCACTGCTACATTGCTATTGTGACATCGGTATAACAGCGGCAGCAGTAGGCAGCAATGATATGTAGAGTGGTACTGCTGTAGTACTGCTGTACATGTGGGTGTCCGCTGCGAGGCGCTTTCTTCACGAGACCCCGCAAATGCCCCAAGCCCAACTTGTTGGAAGTTGGAACACGAGTCGGGTGAGTCTCCTGTTTTCTCTTGCGATGCTGTATCGTGCTCTCCTGTTTATCCGAGCCTACGCCCTTTACAAGTTTAGCAATGGTATGGTGGGCCAGTCTCTTGCGACCCCCTCCTTCCATTGTCTCGTTACGCCGCCTCTCCCGCGCATGAAAAGCTGCCCGAGTGGGGCAGCGTCGATCGTGTTTTCGGGCGTTGGGCCGTCCTGGCAAGTTGCTCGTGGCCCTTGTGATATTTATACTAAAATTACTGCTGTGGTGTGAAGAACGAGTTGGCCGTACTCCGAGGAAGTACATTTGGTTTGGATCGGATGGCGTGAGGTCTTGATTGATGAAGAGATGAGACCCCTCTGAGCAGAAATGAAACCGTCATAGGAAACTGCTTGTTGTGCTGGCTAAGGGTGACCCATTGCATCAGAGGGGAATATTATCACGAAGCACAGGCGTCACTGCGTGCGTCCGCTGACTCCGCTGACTCCGCTGTGGATGACAACACTGTCGCCTGTGAACCTCGCCAATATTAGTCGAAGCATGACGTCCGGCCGGAACTCTACTTCTCCCGTCATCGATGACAACTCCGAGCGCACTATTACAGGGCTTGCGAGGAAGCTGACCTGTTCTGTTATCTCAATAGGTGAGATAGAGAGTAGGTGCGCTGTTGACTGATGAAGAAGACGACATGAACCCGTCTACTGCTGCTGTACCGGTGAACCAGCTACAACCGCACCCTCACTTCGTTGATACAGTCAGTCTGTCTCCTGTATCCCCACCCTACTTATCCAAACCAAAATGGAGGGAAATGTAACTTGTACTTGACTACTTACAGCTAGTCGACACCTCACCTTTGCAAACAAACGGTGGTGGGAGCTTAGTCTTGTACGCCTAGACTAGTCCAGTCTAGTCTAGTATGCCATCGTTATGTATGTCGGTTGGTACGTCGGGGTCTAAGCCAGAGGTTTCAGAGGCGCAAACGACAACGGCAACCGCTACGGTAGCTACTCCTACGGCACACATTAAATTTTCTCGAGGGGGGCAGTAGTGTCTCCTTGATATCGTTCAAGTTTGATTGTTGCGGTCATGGGTGCAGGAAGCGCCTGTCTGTGCCTTCCTACACTTTATTATCCCGCGCGTCTCCTCCTCCGTCTTTGGTTAGTTGCCCTTGTGCTCTTTCGCGTCGTACCCTCAGTCCCCGTCTACCACCTTCTGCCCCCACTCCCTCACTTTCATCCAGCCTTCCTCCACCTTTTAGATGCATCGCTCCTTTGAAATGACGTATTATGTGTTTGCGGCCTACGCCACTTATTTATCGGGTGAGACTGTTTTGGTGATGTATTAACTTCACGGGAGGTAGACGGCCGTCCTTCACACGGACGAAAGAAGGAGTGCTCAAAGAGCGGCTCCCACAGCAAGGAGGGGCCCCGTGAATCATCGCGGTGCCCCCTATCAAACGGTTATCTTACCAGTCTGCGTGACACTAAATCATCCAGCACATGTATCCAACAGCAATATTCGCAGACTCACGAACACCCTCCCTGGTTCTTCACGCAAGTGACTAACCATCAATTGGGCAAGAACGCCCCAGGATACATCAGAAAATACCAACATGGTAACATATGGAGGGGAAACCCGGCGTCCGGGCAAAACCCCTCAAGGAAAAACCCTTCCACCA